CGCTGAAAACGATATGTGACTTTTCCTCAATGAAAGTCTGCCTCGTCCGTTGCACTAATGATCTTGAAGTTCAAGTCGCCATGACTGAGTTTAATTACAGTGAAGAAGGATAACTTCTGACCCTTGATTTGAGGCTACAATCTCACAGGGTACACTTAATCAAGAACCCAGACAGACACACACACACACACACACACACACAAACAGCAGATCAAGCTGGTCCAGTCAGAGAGATGAAATTACGTCTTACTCCAAATCAGTCTGATGCTTGTCTAATGAGCACTGTGGCAGAGATACACGATGAAGAAAATCAATCATGTATAACACCACAGTGAGCCAGAGAATTGTCAAATTTGTCAGCTAATTTCATGCTAATTGAGTCCCTAACCCGGTGGTTATTTTTAACCTCATCGCTGTTCTGATCACGTGGAATAGCGATCCCTTTGCTCACGTGTCATTATTAAGCTAAACACATCAATCATGATTTTCTTTCTTCCCTCAGTACCCGCCAGGATCACTAACATATCGAAGGACATCACAGTGAACGAGGGCAGCAATGTCAATCTGATGTGCCTGGCGGTCGGTCGACCTGAGGCCAACATCATGTGGAAGCATCATTCACCGAGAGGTAAGCCACAAGGTTTGCTGTATTGCTATTTTATTTCTTTTCTGTTCTTAAATTCCTGTAATGGAGAAGTGTCCTATCCAGAATTTCAAATGGTTTACTTTGTTCAAGTAGAAAATTAAGACGAAGAGCAAAATTCAGAAGATTTAAACCAGCGATTTCTGTGTGCCAAACAATCAAAGTAAAGGATACAATCTTTAGTTAGTATTTGACAATAAATGGTAGAGTACTGAAAATCTATACTCAAGTAAAAGTACAATTACTCTCATAAAAATGACTCACTATAGCTACATGATAAGTTAATGTCATTATCATAACATCAAAGATTAATGTTTTACACAGCTAATGTTAACTAGCTAACTAGATTTTCACCTACAGTGTGTCAATGTCTTTAATGTGCCTGCCGAGTTTTTGAAAGCGGAGATCTCACTGTTTTTCATAATTTAACTGTTGTTATTTTTAGATTTTGGTATAAAATGTGGCCAGGGACTATTTCTGGACGCTGCTTCTTGTTCTGGGTTTTGCTCCGTCACCATTGCATCATGGTTTTAATAACCTAATAATAATTTAAACTTTGTGTGTCATTTCCCCTCAGTGTGCTTGACTGGACCATGGGTCCCCCCGAACTTTGTCATGGGGGGGTTGTTGTCTTGTGCGTGTTGTGTTTCATTCAGTCGTATCAGCTCAGTGAGCAAGATAGCTAACTAATCATCTTGTGGACTATGGACATAAAGTTTGTCATGAGGAGTCAACTTCAACTATTTTTGCCTGTGCAGGAGTGAAAATTAGTCATTCTCAACATTTGCTGTGTTTTGGTCTCAGAACGATGAAAGCAGTTGGAGAACATTTACACAGGATGGAGGCTTTAGAGACGGACTTCTTTCCTCAACTCTCGCAACTCTTATGTTTTTCCCAAATTATTATTAGTTTTAGGCATTCCATTATCTCCAATGGCTTGAAACATAAAAAAATAATAAAGAAACATAAGCAGTTTCTGTTTCTTATTTATACTCATACGTCACTGTTTGAGTGTGTAGAAGGTATAGAAACATATATTAATGCAGAATTATAAGGAACTTTTTTCTTAACTAATACTTTCAAAATTTCTTCTATCTCTATTTTGTTCATTATTATGTCATTAATCTATAAAATCTAACTAATGTGTTTAACTAATAAGTTTCATAATTTTCTTTGCCGATTGTCAAAGGTAATTCAGAAATTTCACAAAACAAATGTGTCAGGCAAAGCTGTAACAGCATTACCTCAGCGTAAAGGTGACTGAACCACCCCTCCCACGCACACGGCCTGATGTCGACATTCCCACGCAGCACACACCTCCAACACTTGCTTCACATGAATATTCGCCTACGTGCACAACAGCCGTTTACCTCCAGCGGGATATGAATCTGTAGCTTTTGTGTTAACATCGCCACGAGAGGATTTATGATGAATACTGCTGGGCTTTAATCTATTGACTGAGGCCTTGTTTTCTTTGCAACATGGTGGATCTGAGTAGTTGAAGCTGCACAACCTGTGGCCTGACAGAACCCAACCGCAATCAACCATGATTTGGCTGCAGGCCACAGATGGTTTGGTCAGTTCTGTTGTGCTGGCACCCCCAAGTCTGAAGAGAGGAGAGAAGCTCTGCATGTGTGTGTGCATGCATGTGTGTTCTGTGTTCTAATTGTGTCGGCTCCGCGCTTCCCACTGAGCATTCAGCAGTGTGAGTCATACGCTGCTTCTCTATAGGATCAGATGTTCAGCCTCCAACATGACATGAATGCTTACAGCCCAGCTGTTCCTCTCTCCCTCCTTATTATCTAGAGCCAGCAGATTCTGGTTCTCACAGCCTAGTGGCCCTTCACCACCTCAGCCATCCACAACATTTCCTTTTCTCCATTTACTGGTTCCCCAATATTTACCCTGAATATCAGGATCTTCCCACAAACCATTTCTTTGAAGTGTGAGCTGTAATCATATTCAAAAGGGACAAATTTAATGACTGACTCTAAACCACCAGCCAGATGGTGCCATATCTGTGTACTTAGTAACACCCCTCTGGGGTTCAAGTTCAATTTTATGTTTTTGATATAAATAGAATTTGGCACTTGTTTAGCAGTTTAAATGACTTAGTATTGTTCTATGTCTGTATTCAATACAGCCACCACAATCTGTGCGAGAAACCGGTCGATAGGTTGGTAAAAGCCATATTATGTCATGTCCTTTTAAAGGGATAGTTTGGGTTTTTTGAAGTGGTTTTGTATGAGGTACTTATGAGGTACCGTGATCAGCGTGGCCCAGTTTGGAGAAGCAGGCAGGAGTACCGCAGAGGAGCAGAGCAATGCACTGCTGTGAACAGGGGATGCAGAACAACACTTTTTAGCCACCTGAAAAAAGGCCTACGTCAAGTTTAAAGGTCCAGTGTGTAACATTTAGAAGGATTTATTGTCAGAAAGGGAATATAATATTCATAAGTGTGTTTTCATTTGTGTACCAATATAAGAATCATGTTTTTGTTACCTTAGATTGAGTTGTTTTTAACTACAGACTCCACAGGCCGCCTTCCATGGGGGCCACTATATACATACTGTAGAACCATCGTATTCCTACAGTACAATACTCTAGATAGGACTGATTTAATCATAGGCAATGTCAACAGTTTTCTGTTTTACGAGATGAAAATAATGAAAAATTTGTCAATATATGTGATTTGAAATTGCCCCAGTAGTAGAAAGACAGGGAGTCACTCCTAACTACGAAGCCTGAGCTGATGAACAGCAGCAAGAGTAGTGGCAAATGAAGCAACAGAATAGCACTTGCAAAGTAATACACAGGCATCTTCTGTAGCCAGGGAGCCTGACATGCTGTGTTTGTGTGTGTGTGTGTGTGTGTATGTGTTATTGTCAATGGGGAAGATAATGGGTTATCTTACTTGACATTTCTCTGAGTTGCGCTAATGAAAAGAGAGACTATGTGGGGGAATGTTTGGGCAGCCAAAGAAATTCTCACTGGCAGTCAGAATCTTAAATGTTTTTTTCCTGCAGAGTGGCATTTTCCCCGACTAGCTCCTCACCGTTTGCTTTTCATGTTTGTCACCAGCGATAATGGACTGTTCCCTCAGAGGATAGTGTTTGTGTCTGTTAGTACAGCACAAAAGTGAGCAGCCTTTTCCCTGAGTTAAACCCGCATTTCTACCAAGTCTCAAATTTGCAATGTAGCCGCCTTGCCATTTGATAGTTGTTTTTTCATGGCATATCATTTATGATTTTCACACTCACATGGTGTCAGGAACAAGAGCAAATCTACTGTAGCAGCTGATGATGCAGACAGATGCCTCACCTTTCACTGTGAAAATGGCATGAAAGTGACAAGTGGCATGAGGAAATTGTCTCTTGCAAAGGCAGAAGAAATACTGAACACTGAAACAATATTAAAGTTGCACTGCCTAATTTGAGTCTGAAGTATGTTAACTAAATATAAACTGAGTTACTGTCAGATTCCCTGTCACAGTTTGATATGAATTCTGCTTCCACTGCGCTGTTGAATGAAGGGAGACTTAAGTCTACAGTATATGCGCATAAATCCTCCAAATACAGATGGCAGAGATGGGGACTCGAGTCACACAGTAATTTGATATTTGAATTGAGACTTTTTATATATTATAAAAATATAAAAAATGTTTATTTGGTGCATTAAGGGAATGTCTGGCTATCTCAATGTCATTCCCTCCCGTATTTTTTGTGGATTAACTTACACGTCTGTTGCGCACACCAGCTGCAGCAACAACACCTTGGCAAGCAAACCTATCTACTGTGTCATTTGTCATAACCTTACACAAGGCATAAATAAATGTATAAAGGATGGCACATTGACCACATCAAACTTTGTCAGGCACCTGAAAAAGCACCCTGGATAAGTGAGTCACCTGGACGGTTAACAAACATTGCAGCATTAGTAGTCTACCATTAGCTTATTACTAGCTCTGTAGCTAAGAGAGGTTAACTTGATTAAATTGGCTTTCGCTGGTAAGGTAACCATCCATGTTCTGCTGCCACCATCTACGTTAAGCAGAGAGAACATGTTATTATAAATGCTGTCTACAGGCTACAAGTTTATTGTTGACCAGAGCTGCACATTTTAATTTTTTTGATAAAAATAAAATATCTGACAAATAGCATTATAATGAAGTACTGTAGTGCTGCAGAGATGACATTGTTTGGTACAAATGTAATTTTTTTTGTGAAAATGAAAATTGCAATGTAATGATCATAGATCATATTGCAATTGCATATCTATCTACATAATGGATTTTTGTATTCTTGGTCTACACTGTAACTGGTATTTTGCATTGTAACATGAATGTGCAAACAACTAGTCAAAGCTAATACTGTGTGCTAATAGATAAAGAAGTGATGATAATATAGTACATGCTTTGAATTCCTTTTGTACAGCTGTGTGATACAGTGTTATAAGCAAACTGGATGGTAGGCAGCAAATGATAGAATGCTCATTGCGTCTATAAGAGACTTGAAACTTGACTTTGAATTGTGACCAACGACTGGACTTGGACTTGCAGCTCAAAGACTTGAGAGCTGATGTGCACTTGCAAAAAATGACAGACTGTGACATAAGTAAGAGTTGTGGGTGAGCAGCAGCCTATAAATGGCCATTTACTTAATGTCAATTGAAGTCTCACCTTTATTTTGTGAGCTGCAAGACTCAGACCCCATTTCAACTCAGTGGGGACCACATACATTATTCAGTAGTGTCCACTGAATCTCTGGCTGCTGGCCACTAAAAGGATTATAAGATATATGGTTGGGGGAAAACAGTTTATACAGGGGACAATGCAGTATGGATCTTTTCGACCCATTAAGACTCATTAAAGTGGATAGGTTGTGAATGTACACTCTCTCAGATGGCAGATGTTTGTGCCGTTCCTTTTCAAATTACTACAGACAGAAAGATGGCTGTAATGTGTGCGGTCCTTTAGAGGTGTTGTG